AAAGGTACAACATGTTGGTAGGAATTTCAGGAATCGACCCCATGATTCTTGATTGTGTCCACTTGCCTACTAGTAACAACTTGGCCATTTGATGCAGAATGTAAATGTATCTGTAGATGTCTACAGCTAGCCTCTACCAGGCACCGCGGATCGCTGGAAAAATAGTAGAAATTGGCCGAAATAAAGGGATAGTATACCAGAGAAGATCCCGTGCCATAGAAGATCCAATTCTTCTTCTATTTTTCCAGCGATCCGCGGTGCCTGGTAGAGGCTAGTCTATGGCATATCTTACCTCCTCCCTGTACAGGTAACATGTTGCCCAGTTGTCCGTTGCCTTTTTTCCCTTTCTTTTGTAGTCTGAGATCCACATCCTCGACCGGGGGTGATGAGGAAGTTTGAGGAGGTTTACCTTTGCTAGTGTTGAACTGTAGTGGTTCATTGTTGTGGGCTGGATCTAAGTAAATGACAAAAATGTAATGTTATGTATCATAAAGTTTAAAAAAATAATGATTAAAGATTGCACATAGTGTGCAAGGTGATGTGACATACATTACTATATGTACTCCAGATCACCAGTGTTTTAAAGCTGAACAATATTTGTTCAACATGTGAGGTCATGGTATACATATGTAAATCAATTGATGTCAAATGTATGTCTAAGTTGAGAGATATACTTGTAATGTTACATGTATGTACATCTGCAATAACATGTAATGTTACATGTGCAATATTGTCTAAGTCTAACTTACCATCTCCCTAATTCATGTTTTCAGACCTTGGATGTGTTACTTCATAGGCTAAGAATTTTTTTCTATCAGTCTTTTCAATCAAACCATCTCGTGGTGTGAAATACACACCTGCAATATACAATTTGCGAGCCAAACCCCACCTAAAATTACTGGGGGTATATGTAGAAACCTGCAATTTTCCTGGATGAAAAACCATGTAAGCCCTGGGTTTCTTCTATGAACAACTTTGAGGGGAAATTCTGATACTAGGGTTGAGAAAGCATATCGTCAGATTACATTCAAATGTAATGTTACATTCCTCAAATTCAGACAAATTTATGGATGGAACGTGGACAAAGAAAGCGATCTATTAGTTTTACCTTACTATCAGACAAACAAATCGGGAAAAAAATTACTCCACGATTTGAGCTAATGAAACACACCATCTGCCATACTTCAGAATACGTACTAGTACCTGGTCCCATCCCTACGTTGGCGATGGGCACGTTCCCCATGTTGTCCATAGGAGGTCTGAACTGAACCTGGTTCATGTTGAAAGGCGCCATGGGCGGGGGTGCCGCCATCTTCTCACAAAATTTCAGACGACTCTTTCTCAACTTTCCTCAGCAAAAACCACCTCAGTTTCCTCAGAAAAGCGGAATATTAGTACCAAAATGAACGAAGATTAGTTTAACTATCTGCTAAAGCATTGCACGATTGTCTACGAGCTCAAATAATCGCAAAACTTTTTGCCAAACGACAGAATAAATTTCCTTCCAGGCAGATGGTTCCACTTTCGCAAGGAGTAATGGGATCATGGAATGTTACATTCTGATTCAGGGTGTCACCTACTTGGATCAAGATTTTCTTTAAAAATGTTCAGTATTGTACAAATATAACCATTAGATGTTAAGAATAGTAAATCCAAATTTATTTCAACTGTTCTTTTTATCTATTTTGTTCGGCATTATTGCTGTAATAGCACACAACCATGAGCATTTGTCCCCTTTGTCAAAATAGACTTGCCAGGTCAAAGTTTAGAGATACGACGGACGAAAAAATGTCGAGTGCTCTGGGTAAGAGTTTGTATCTCTAAATACACTTTTCTTTCTTAACTTTCTAGTCTAATACAAGTTTGACTGATTTAACTGAGTGCAAGTTTTATACTGGCAACAGAAAAGATACGATAGACTTGGTCATATTGGCAAGGCTCTAGGAGTGTTGGTGGGGAGGGGGGCGTGTACATGGGAGTTTGCACGTTTTGATTGATTCGACCTTTGGAAACAGGTTGAGTGAGCAAAGATCAAGGTCGGTTAAGATGGTAGGTTTAAAGGCCTGAACTGAGCTGAAAGTTGTATGTGGACCAGAAATGACTGAGATATTTGGGTTACTAAAAGAGATATACTCAATACTGTCTTGAGTTTGATGATAAAAATAAAACTTTAAAACACTTTAAAAAGTTTCTAGATAAGTTGTAATTTCACTTGTAATTTGTGGTAGAGATCCCAGGCTTTATACATTTAACATTTCCAAGTCTTGTGTTTATCCCTCTTTTATTTATTTTTTATTTCTTTCACTTTAAACTTTTTTTTTATCATTTCATACTAAACAGTCTTTTGAAAAGATATATCATGTGTGTTGTATGATATGAAACCTAGGTTCTGTATCTGTATAGCTGGTTTGGTGCAACACACCAGCTTCACAGGCACTCAGTGTGGCAGCAGTTTGCTGTATTACACAAAACAACAAGGTTGGACTAAAAGTACTGAATGGTACTGACATGGTTGACTCACCCCCTCCCCCTCAGTGTTTCCATTGAAGTGTGCAGTGCAGCAGTATGCCTGGGGGAAGGTGGGTTCAGACAGCGAGGTCGCCAAGTTGAGTGCCAGCAACGATTCCAACTTTGTTGTCGACAACAGCGCCACCTATGCAGAGGTAAGTCATCTCTGTGCTGTAATTTTTTTCAAGTTGGCAGCACCTAAATTCTGTAGCATAATTCAAAGCCAAATGTTTGCTGTATCTTTCACCATTGAAACAATTCAGTAGTAGCATAGGAATGGAAATACAGGTGTCTGAGAGAGAGACGAGTTCACAATACTAGAGAATTGATCCTGAAAACTCTGGAAAAATATTGTGAAATCATTTAAGACATGTCATAACATATAGTCAGTAATCAAGATAATCATAATCTATTCATACATTGTACTTTCCTTCATTTGACAGGTTTGAAATCTTAGCACAAAGTTGTACAATACATTCTACTAGTGCGTGAGCATAATTTTTTTTCCACTCGTCACCACAATGTACTATATAATAATAGCAGTTACATTGTTCCAATTACCTGTTCACATATGGCATATTTACTTTTTTATCCTGTATGTACACCAACGTTATTAGATTTAAGTAGAGACAGTAGGTTCAATAAGTATATCGTACACGTAGAAGTTCCTGTTAGCAAATAGGCTTATACATGTATCACCACATTTTCTTGTCAATGTCTGTATGCAATTAGCCCTCAAACACAAACACAAACATTATAACCCTCCTCTGACTTTCTGCAATTAAGTGAGCCTGAAATTCTTTTTTTTTTCCATTTTAGCTGTGGATGGGAACCCACCCCAAAGGTCCCAGTACCATTGTGTCCCCTGGCATGCCTGACACATCCCTGGCACAGTGGGTACAGGACAACCCTACTGCCCTGGGGGAGAAGGTTCTACACAAGTTTGACAAGCAGCTACCCTTCCTCTTCAAGGTCCTGTCAGTCAACACGTCATTGTCTATACAGGCCCATCCAGCTAAGGTTAGTGAGCTGAACATTAGGAGTCAAGTTAGTCTCTTGATTCTCTGTGTACAGTGTGTTTTTGTGATCATTCCCGATATAAAATCATGCAACACACAGCATTGCTGTACCTTTTCAGTGCATGCTGATATTTTTGCGTATACAGGAATGGTCCCAGAACAACATTTGTAAGGCAAGGGTTTCTACATCTATTTTGTACTGGGCTACACGCCATAAAAGAGGGATCCTGCCAAGGGTTTTGACAGATGCGGCAAGTGGGTGTTTCAAATGGAATTTTTTAAACTTGAAACAATGCAAAAATCTAATCCCATCCACAGCTACAAAGGAAAAGGTGAGGTCGTGCTCCAGAAAGTGATGTAAGGAATTGGTAGTAAAATGGTGTTCTAACTAATAAACAGTCAGTGCTCTGCTCTGGTTTTGAAGTCTTTTATCCAACCAAGGTTGCCTTCTTGTAGCATCAGATTCAGCTGATGTAGATTTCCTGTCTTTCTCCTCCTAGCGACATGCTGAGGAACTGCATGCGGCTCGGCCTGACAAGTACCCAGACCCTAACCACAAGCCTGAGATGGCCATCGCTCTCACACCCTTCGAGGGTTTCTGTGGGTTCAGACCACTGGAAGAAATTGTGGGCTTCCTAAAAGGTACTTATAATCATTCAATGTTCGCATATACAATGTGTAGAAGAACTTTATTGCACGACAATTGCACATGGTACAATGCATGGCAAACTACAACACAAACAATAAAATAAATGTGTTGAATAATACCTAATGTCGAATAAAACCAAACATATCTATATCATAATTATTCAAATAATAAGGGATAGCACAAGTCTTTGATCAATTTACAATTGGGTTCATATGTGCCTTTTGCATACTGTAAAGGTAGAACAATGATTTCATTTTCTTGTTGCACAAATATAACCCTGTGAATATGTGTTTTATAGTTTTACTGTACTACTACTAGTACTGTAACATTGCTTCAAATGAAATTTTCAAACTTGAAACAATGCAAAAACCTAATGTTTTCCTCCTACTGCAAAACAAAAATGCTGTTAAAGTACCAGTACAATGTATATGTATTTCTGGTATATGTATGTAATTCTAAAAATTGCGGTATACATGTACATATACAATTGTCTACTGATGAGGTTGCCTCTACCGTACCATTACCAATGTACATGTACTTGGTGGGAACTTCAAAACAGTTCTAGGAAAGAATGCATTGTTGAACACCTGGGATGATGACCCTTCACTGTTCCTCAGGTGTTGCAGAGTTCCAGGCTGTGGTAGGGTCCGAGGCAGCGGAGGCCCTGATGACCGCCCAGTCCTCTGGCCAGCCTGACCAGGTGGCTCAGGCCATGCAGAAATGTTTCACTGCCCTCATGACGTGTGACAAGGACACGGTAGCCAAACAGCTGGCTTCTCTTCTAGACAGGCTCTCCAAACATGGTCAGATACTAGTATATTATATCACACATATATGCTACACATTTTGTAATTAGATTTCTGTCAAAGGATCTGTCTTTCGTACTTACAACATGACCATTGATGTATGTGAATCATGCAGATTAGGACCTCAGGGATCGAAATACTGGGTCCATGTGCACCTTAGTGCACCCAAACTTCAAGCTGTGTACCCAATTTTTTTCTGTGGGTGCACTGTTGCACCCAAATATTTTTGTAGGTATTTTTGTACATATTAAATGTATAATAGTATGCAGGATATTCTTGATATCTAAGGGTCAGAAAAATAATAAATCTTTGTTGTAGTACTTGTGTAAGATTTTTCAGTCATCTCCCATTTCAGATTCAAGCTCATACAAGGAGCAGTAAGATCTGCAGTAAGGTTTTGTTTTATATAGTGCACCCCAAAAAAATTTTGTGCGCCTAATATTTTAGGTTGGGTGCACCTTTTCCCAAAAATGAATTTCGAGCCCTGGACCTACATGTATAGTATATGTGCATGATTAATGAGAACACTGTTGACTGTACTCGTACTAGGTGATGTTGCCATGTCGGACAGTAATAAGGAGTTGTTCCAGCGGCTTCACTCCCAGTTCCCCGGTGATGTCGGCTGTTTTGTCACCTTCTTCCTCAACCACATGAGACTGCAGCCTGGGGAAGCCATGTTTCTGGGTCCTAACAAGCCACATGCCTATCTGTCAGGAGGTGAGGTAGTAGTGATCATGTGCAGTGTATGATTGTACAATGCATGTACTAGTACATGTATTTTTCTCTTTTTGCAGTGGTGCCACCTGGCAAGATACATTGGCATTGCAACTTCAAAGACAACCCCCTAGAATTTTCCCACATTCAGTGCTTGACGTTTCATGAAACAAAACAAAAAAGTCAGGCTGGCTAGAACACTGATGTGGAGAATACTGGTTTGAGAATATTAAGTTTGAAATATTACAATTTGTCTTTGAAACGTTCCCTTTTCAGTTGTGCCATCTAGCAGCCCATGGTGGAATTACAGTTGTCAAAGATGAAAAAATTAGAGAATTGAATACATGCACAGTAATTTCAATTAGGAACTAGAAAGGCCAATATTTGCTTTGGAGCAAATACAGCGATGGGTTCACCACATTTTATGACATGGCAGGGAAAGAATGAGAAACACAAGGGAAAACAATGATTTACATTGATATAACTATAATATGAAGTAACATACAACTAAAACAACAGTTGGATAGCTATTCCCTACTTTATTTGTTAGGATTTTTAATTGCATAATGCAAACTGTTGATTTTCAAAATAAATAAAAAAACGTTCATGCCCCGCATTCCAATGCTGGAGCAGAAAAGCTTGAAATACCTACCAAAACACTTGAATAAAGACATACTGTCAGTATGGAAATGCTCTGTGCAGGTGTTAATCAAGTTAAATCCCAACAGCCAATCAGCAAGAAATGCTCTGTGCAGGTGGAAATGCTCTGTGCAGGTGTTAATCAAGTTAAATCCCAACAGCCAATCAGCAAGAAGTATAGAGGAAAGCTGCATGCCTATTGGTTGATGCCCTGCATTCCATTGTGATGACTCATGCCCAGACGTGGTAAACATGGCACACTAACACAGTAATACATTTGCTATAACACAGCCAAAAAACTCAAATAAAACCATTCTAAAAGCCTCTATCACAAAAATTTAAAAAACGCCTAGGGGTATTTGCCCACTGTACCTCCATACCAAATTTCAGGACCTTAGGCCCTAAAATGAAGAAGCTGAATCCATTTAAAAAATGGCAGGAGAAGAAGAAGAAGAAGAAGAAGGAGAAGAAACATCAGAAAAAGCAATATGGGTTCACCACCACTTCGTGGTGTGGTGAACCCATAATAACCTCAAATCAGCTGTGATTAGGATTGTAGTTTTTGATCTAAACTTTTGTGTTTCCAGATTGCATGGAGTGCATGGCGTGTTCAGACAACGTGGTGAGGGCTGGGCTCACGCCGAAGTACATCGATGTGACCACGCTGTGTGAGATGTTGGAGTACGTTCCCAGCAGCCCTCAGCAGCAGATCTTCCCCTGTCAGAAACACCCCACAGACTCCGCTGTCTCCATCTACAACCCACCTGTGCCAGACTTTGCTGTCGCTAGGATACAGGTATGTGTCCTATTCCCATGGCAATTATACATGTATATGACTAGAAGTACAATGCACCAAGCAATTGTAAGCTTGGTCAAATCCTTGTTCAGGACTGCATTCTTCTTGTAGCAGTGCCACCTATCATTTCTTGCAGAAATGACAACCACACATACAATGTCATGTAAAGTGCAAATTTTGGTTTAATTGTAGAGTCTTCCATGTGGTTAGCGGCCCTGTCCCTGGACCAAGCTAAGAGGTTGGGAGTTCAAATTCCAGCTGTTGCTCACCCATCATATGCACACGACTGGAAAGGGTAGCAGTCCTTAGGACGGGACATTAAGTTGCAGTCCACTAGTACTGTTTATTGTGCCTGTGGAGTTAGGGAAATTTCCCGGTACATTGAACCTTTAAATACTGTACATAACATCTGCCTTCTCTCTCACAACCAGTGGGAGAATAGCTCTTCAGTTCAATGAGCTAAAACTGGATCAAAATCACTTTCCTTTTTTTGATAGATTCCAGCAGACTGTGCCCAGCCCTGTACCTACACACTAGAAGCTGTGGACAGTGCCAGTATTGTGCTGACCGTGGAGGGAGAGGGGGAGGGCACCACTTCATCTGACACCAATCACAAGGTCCAGTTCTCCCGCGGGAGTGTGGTGTTTGTGTCCGCTGACCAGAGTGTCAACATCTCCTGTAGGTCCAAAGGCATGCTCATGTTCCGCGCTTTTTGTCCGTTAGACTGAATAGATGTGCCATTCACTGTACCAAGACCTAGGGAAAAGATGGGGTGTTTTCTGTTTCCCGACCGACCCAAGAAAAAACTGCTGACCCTAGCCTTTTTAGGGGGTGGACACCAGGAAGGGACATAAATTTTCTCAAGCTAAAGCTTTTCTATCTCCATGATCTGACACCTGAGTGAAGAAATGTTGTGCAATCAGTTTTCCAACTTACATGTATATTGAAAGTACAAGTTAGACTAGTGTCCTCTTGCAAGTTTTACTTTGTTAAACTGTATATAGAGAGGTCGCCAAGGTAAAAAAAAAACCAAGGTACAGTAATCCCCACTTACGGACCCTAATTTTTTTCAGGACTGAAACAGGAAACACAGTATTTTTTCCCCAGGCCTAAGCCATCCTCACAGCTCATAAATATTACTGGTCAAATACATGCTAATCCTATTAAAAAGAGTACTCACCTCTAACTGGTTACCTCCTGAATGGCCATACTTTTTGTCAATCATTGGCCATAATTTTTGTCTATCATCAGGAACCAATTTTTTTTCTTCAACAAATGACAAATACTGGGGAAAGGTATACAATCAATGTCATACATTGATGACTAAAATAAAGAAGTTTATTTGTCATTTAGGCTAAGCATAACGGACGGTCCCCCACACGAAGGGGGACAAGCATCACTAATTAAGAACAGGCCGGTGCGTCCAAGCCGGCTCTTCATTCAGATCTGAGCGTTCCTAGGTGTGGTCACGAAACTTACCCCACACGCGATGGCTGGAAGTTTCGATTTCAAATTAGCTCAATGTATAAATTAAAAGGAAATTGTGGAAAACCTTAAATGTAGGGATAGCTGATTGAATTAAGATTGACTAAAATCTATTTGTCAAATGTGTTAATGTTAGATACAGATGGGGCCATAGGGATTATAGATAGGAAGAATTATGATAAATCTATCAGGTGAAATAAAAAAATATTTTGCAAAAAAAAATAATTTTATTGCTAAAGGGGATGACCCCAGTGCCAAATTGATTAAAAATAATGAATGATACAAATTCAGATCCAATATGCATAATGTGTGTTACATTTTTGGAATGTTATATTAAATTTTATGATTACTTCCGTGCACTCTTCTTTACATCACATACACATGTTTGTTCAAACAGCATATGACACCCACTGTACAATATTGCATCAAGGGACAAGGAAATTACAGCAATAAGTACAAATGTAAGACGTAAAATCTATTTGAAAGTGGTTTTTACAGCTTTATGTAGTCAAGAGTACATTCATAGCCCTATTGGGCCTAGTGCAGCCTATTACAGACCAGACCCCTAAAGCACGAGATTTGTTTAAGTGCTATATATAGGTGTATAATAGTGTACTGCTACATTTCCTGGCATTCGTTTTCAGAATCTTTGAATAATACAATCAGTTGGAGAATACTCTCTGAAATTTTCAAGGACAGTTTTGTCATACAGTAAACTAGATACTGGACAGTCACTTAGTTGATCATGAAATGCATGTACCTACTACCATCATGTTATACTTACTAAATAGTCTACTGTAGATTGGCTCAAATTACAATTTGGAATTCTGGCTGAGTTTTCTCAGAATTTTACCCGAGATTCCTAGAATAGACACTGACCTTTTTTAGCATATTAATGTGGATAAAAATTGTGTCACTCCAGGTGACACAGCCTATCATTTATATGTAAATTTTGTAAGTATCATATGTGTGATACTAAGTGCCATGTTGCATTGTGGCCATAGATTTTAGTTATTTTTAGTAATTCAGGAATTGGTGCTTTCTGTATGATTTTCAAAGAAACGTGGGAGCAATGTTTTAATTGACCACCAAATAAACATTACAAGGGGATCACATGATTATCACATATATGATAGCATCTAGCTATAGACACACTGTCGTTCCCTCTGTGACACAAGCAGATTCTGTGGTCCATTGAAGTGAGAACACATCTTTTGAAACATAAACTTACCCTACCAGTGTCCAACCAGGCCAGGTTTATCTGACTTGATTGATTTGATTTGGTTTGATTTATTGAAATTGCAACAATGCAATACACGCGGAGCAGAGGCAGCTGTTCCTGGTGTTGTGTCCCGCACATAGAAGCAAAATACTGTACAGACAATACTCATTTTCACTTGAGTCAAGTGGGGAAAGTCATGTAAAGTGCCTTTCCCAAGGGCACAAAGATCAGTGGCATGTCAGGACCCGAACCCGGGACCTCTTGATTCCTTGTCGCACACTCTGCTGTTGCGCCACACAACCCCACCCTTGAGTATTATTTGAGAAAATCTAATGACCTGCCAACAGACATAAGGACATCTAAACCTTTGTGTGATCAATCATATCTAGCATGCAGAACATGTACTATACATACTAAAGTGTAGTCAACTGTGTTAGAATAGACCGGCAATGCATGACCAGGCTTGTGACCAGCATAAGGAAGAGATGTCAGTCTGCTATAATAATGACTGTGTTTCACGTTTTCATATATTTGCCAGACTACACCAATTCATTTTGTAGTTTTTCTCAGTCTTATAACAAAATATGATAATGCTAGAATGGAAATTCACATGAAAACAGCCATCAGGGAGTGAAAAGTACATTAAATTGTACCCATATTTCTATCCCAGCCCTTTATTATAATAGCTGTTTAATCTTCATTTAAGCATAAATAAAATGTCACTGAGAACCGAACAGGGCATTTCCCATATCTACAATGTATACTAACTGGGAGTCTTTTTTTTGGAATTACACGTCTTTGTATATTTATTCAAAGAGTGGACCAAAATTGCACCTGTGTCATATATGTGCAGCTCAGTCGAGCTTCTCAAATAATATGACATTTTGTACCCAATCCAAGAAACTGTCATCTCACCCATTGCACGCTTGGCTACACTTAAGGAAAGTCTCCCAACTTCCTGACAAGTTTGTTTTTCAAAATTGTGTCACTCCAGGACTTAAGCCTATCATTTATATGTAAATTTTGTAAGTATCCTTTGTGATACCAAGTGCCATGTTGGATTGTGGCCACAGATTTTAGTTATTTTTAGTGATTCAGGAATTGATGTTTTCTGTATGATTTTCAAAGAAACCTTTTTTTCAAGATGTGAGTTGCTGCACTTCCTGTTTAGTATTCCTCTCAACGCACCTGGACATAATTGGAATGCAGCGGTGCCTCAGATGTCACAAGACGGTCCACAGGAAGCCGAACAGACTATTAGAAATTCTCCTGGCAACAATACTCCGGGAGCCGGTCTTATTTGCCATTCAGAAGAAGCACTGAAGCAGAAACTCAGACTCACTCCCCCGGTGAAGACATCATCAAAGGATGAGCTCAACGACCATTCTTGACCCTCTTCCAAAAGTAAAAAGTTGTTTTAAGCTTTCTAGTTTGAAATAAAAGTACAGAAAGAAACTATAGAAGTGTAATGGATGTCAAGACCTTAAGATATTTCTTTATTCAGGAAGATCCATTATCTAAACAGGCTTACAACGTAGCCTTAACAGAAAACTCTACACACACACCCCTTGTGTATTCTTGTGAACATTGCAATTTGATTGGTGCCAGGAGGCTGCATCTTAGTACGTCAGAAGGCTGAAGGTTAAGAAAGTTCTTCAGTAATAAGGATTCTTGTGACCCAATGTAACCTCCGCTCAGGGCAAGCCTAACAGGCTCATACTGGCTCTTTGAAGAAGACCTGTGCACACTGGATACAAACTTGATATGCTACATGTAAGTCATTACTTTTAAATTGGCAGGAGACCTTCACTGACGTAGCTGAACTCATTGTTATTTTTCTAGACAATTTGATAAAAAAACACATTCAATTCAGGGGCAATCCAGGACATGCCATGCAGCAGTCTTTGCATTATTGTAGGTCTAAATGTTCCTTTGTAGAATATTCCTGCAATTTCTGTTCTTCAACCAAGGACGTTCAACTGACTATACAATGTATAATTAAGTAGACTATACCTGTAGGGAGCATGGTTACAAAATTGATAAGACCGTAACTTTTCTACATTTCATCAAAACATTTATCTTTAAGAGGAAAGGCAAGCCAACTTCATTCACAAAGTCTTGTTTATTAAATCATGTCTTCTATTTTTTACCAAACTAAGAAAAAAATTGTTGACATTTAAATGTGCAGACAGTTAGAAAGCCAACTGATAGGTAAATAATTGAGACCACCATTCTTTGAGTCTTCCATATAGTTGTAATAACTGTTATTATCGGATAATATAACTTACACAAAATCAAGAAAAACATTTCTCACCAAACTTTGCGATATTCCAAAACAAACTGGAACAGAACTATTACCCTGTGCCTGGAGGTAATGATACTGATTTTAGTGGGGGCATTTCTCTCTGTATTGCATACAATGTCATAATATATTAATATGTGCCTCAGAGTCCCCACAAAAACTACATATCCTAACCTAATACATAGAATTAAATAAACTTCAAAACATTATTTACAATTACATATATTATATGATCTGTCTCATGTACTTAAACAGGACTGGCTCTGAGGATATATAAAACTCGTAGGCTTTATTATTCCCATAAAGATAATATTATTATACAATATTAATTTTCCACATATTGCAGCATCTTTTTCCACCTTCTTAAGATTACATCAAGAGTCATACACTTAGTTTGAGCATCACAGTATGACTTGGAGTTGCCCCTTTTTGGTAGTCATTCTATACTAATGGCATGGCAAGGGTCAAATCTGTAAGATGTCGGAAAATATTCTCTTGAAAGATTCCCTGATATCGGTTCCTCCCCTGGAATGTAGATTTGATGCTCCTATGGTGACCCAAAGTAGTCCAGGACTAAAGTGTCGCCATTTCCTCTTCTGTATTCTCCTTAGAAGCTCATATAAAAGTCTGAGGACCACTTGAGTTAGGGTTGAAATGCCCTTGATGGCACTGCGTTTAATTTCCACTCCTCGGTATTACAACATCAGGGCGTACCACAGTATGTGAAAGATCAACAAAACTGCCCACAGACCACAGCTTGGGTTGGGAGGCAGACACGGAAGTGCCCTGTTTTCTGTCGGCTCGGGATTGGTCGATTCTTGGTCACATGACTCTCGCGAATCGGCATCAAGTTTAAGGTCACACTTGGTGTAACAATTATTGTCTTTCGGTACGTTTTCAGCCTGAACTCCGTAGACATGCCCTGAAAAATGACATACAGTCTGAGGTTACTAAATGTTGAAAGCTATCCAAAAATACATGTAGTTTCATCAGGTTGGTAGAGTATAGGATGTAAGGGTTTTCTTTTACACAATGAAAATTAATATTACTACCTTGCTTACATTTTTAGAAGCTCTGAAGAAGGTGTCTGAGACACACTGAAACATAAGCAAGGTGGGAATATTTGGTTTTGTAAAAGAAAACTCTTTTATTCTGTTAAAGCTCTGATAGAAAAAACAGGGTTTGGTAGAAAAAACAAGGGCAATTGAAATATCATTTAATCCAGGGCAGACAAATATAATAATATAACCAATGATTATGTTATTAATTTCCCAAGTGTTACGGCTGAGCTGATTACACATTTGGGCAAAGTTCCTAATTTTTCAGCTGTAGTAAAAAACAACTGCAAGGCCTGTCCTTGGTGCTGAACACCATCCGTGCATGCAAAGACTTGTCCCTGTAATGGTAATTACTGTAGCTGCGTACCATAATTTTCTGCTTTCTCCCAATTTAATCAGTCTGTGACATGATATATAACAATGCCAAATGAAATTGGTACAAAAAGACCTAAATTCAAATTTACCTAGTATAAGTTGTAACTTATATTAATTACATCATACTCACATTTGTGCCATATACAATGCAATGACTACATTGTTCTTGACTCGTATCATATTAAACAAACTATAGTTTATAGTCCTGTCTTGTTAGCTTAAGTCTGAGGATAGCAGATTTGGGAAGTGGACTTAAAGCAGAATTATGTATGAAGGGGGTTAAAATCATCTTTATTGCAATTTTGAGACAAACTTACACAAGACGAATATGTTAAAATGCCTAGGACGACCCCTTCTCTGGGTTTAATTACCCAGGGGGCGCAAGGTAAACTTATAGTTGGTGTGCGTCAGACAGTTTAAACCTCAACAATGCTTAAAAATTCTAACAAGTATAATACAGTTAGACAATGGCATGCTAGTATATTGCACCTAAATACTTATTGCACTATTAACCACATTAGTATCATGATACAAAAAGTCAAGTGAGTTTGTATCACCGATTTTCCACTGCAAAAAAGTGCCATTCAGAAAAGGAGTTTCCAAAATATTACAACTTACATGTGTGTTACATGTTAAAAGCTTAAAACTTTTGTTGACATTCTGGTATTTTGTGGTGGTGCCACAAAAATAGTATGCGTTGTTTGGGCTGTTTTAGAACCAACTATAAAAGTCAGATACACGGTATGTGAGATAATTTCACAAATATGTTGAAAAGTGGAAGTAAATAACAATTACATCAAGAAATTTTACAGTAACTGTTAGTAGTTGATCATTACTTAACAGTAAATTTTCAGTGCTGATGGTTTGCCAAGGGTAGTCCAAACTTACCAGGGCAGTTAAAGCCAGCCTCCCCGGCATAGGGTGAGTCTGGCAGCAGGTAGGGACACGACCTCTCCATGTCCAGACAGAAACTGTTACATGGCCTCTTCAACTCTCCCTCATGGTAGAACGGTAGGTTTTCTGCACAAAACCAGTCCCTGTAGGCAGCCTACGCAAGAACAACATGGACAAACCAGTCAAATTTTCAGCACAAAAATTAATTTTTTTTATTTGATTTTGATTTGATTTGATTTGATTTATTGAAATTGCAACAGTG